TTTCCTTAAATTCCTAGGGGATAGAGGCAATAAAATAATAACAGCCAAACATGTGGAAACATTCACCTTTTACCTAAGATTCTCTATGTTGGGAACTCCACAAACACCACCCCCAATTCCAAACCCATAAAGTTAAATAAAAACAAAAGATTCAAAAAAAGAACAGAGAACCCAATACAAGAAAAATTGAAATATGAAACACTATTTCTTTCTCAGTAAAACTTGAAACTTAAACTGAAACAAAAGTGAAAAACGAAGAAGAAGAATCCATAGCTTCCTCCACGATTCCATCAGCAAGCAGAATCAGATTAGGGATATTACCCCCAGATTTAAATTTTAGGGGTCACAAAAATTAGAGATTATCCTCCACTTAGGGTTCATAAAATTGGGTAATCTGAATTGTTTAAAACAAAATTAATCCTAATTTTCATAATTAGGGTTCTATAAATTAAACAGAACATGAATCAAATATGGGCGGCTCCGATACCAATTGTTGGAAAAATAATAATAATAATAATAATAATAATAATAATAATAATAATAATCCTGATTTTGATTCTAACAATCAAACATAAACATAATCCCATACTCGATAAACATGCTGTAAACTCGAATGCGAAAGCGTACACTGAATTAGCCATAACGATGATGTCTTTGTAGAGCACTATATTGATCTTATGGTCTTCCACCTGAAGAGCACCTGTATTTTCCTCTTGATTTTCTCTCTTGATGGGGATAGAGAGAAAGGAACGGGATTGTAACTACGTTCTGTCTGTGTGCTCTCAGAAGGGGACCATGACCCTTTAGATAACCAGAATTAGGTTAATTACTTAAGTTTTAGTATTTCCAATTTGGCCCCTCATCAAATTAGAAATTGCTCTATGGTCTCTACACAATTTTATTTCATGACATATGCTTTTAGCCAAAACTTTAATTTAGTCAGATCACTTTATTATTTGGCTTAATAAATAATGACCCTAACACATTTAAATATGTATCATATATATACATGACCCAAAATTTGCCAACAAATGTGACAAAACTAGTTTTTGAAAACAGAAATCTACAACAGAGAACAAAGAGATAATAATATCATTATTTATTCTTCATAACATCTAGAAGCCCTTCTATGAAGTAAGAAGAGAGGAAATCAATAAATAACCCCCATGACTTTAACAACATTAAGAGTCTAAAGGCGAAACTTGACCATTAATTTTAGGGAGATCTAATAATATATCATTAATAAATAATAAATATAAAAAGGAGAAAAGTATATGAAAAAGTGTAAAAATAAAATTGTAAATATATAAGTAAATATATTAAATTATCATTAAGTTTTGGAGACCAAAATTATAAATTATATGAAAATTACAAAACTAAGGGAGATTAAGAGGATAAAAATTTAAATATACAAGTAAATATATGATATAATCATTGGAGACCAAAATAATAAATTACATGAGAGTTACAAAACTTTGGATGTTCACAACCATAAGTTTCCAAGAAGGTTCGCCACTTGAATCTAACAATCATTACCTTAGACACTTTACAATAAAGTAATTCTTTAAATTATATAAACCAAATATTAAATTAATATAATTTAACAAAAGAATGAGTTAAAAAAAAGAGTCTAAATAATCTTATGTAAATACATAATCATCCTATTTTATCATTCTTTATTCTTGAAAATATATCGTTGTGGTTATTAATGTTAATCACCACTACAACAAAATCGCAGTATATCAACGGATATTTACTGATCGGAATTGTAGTCGTCGGAAAATAATCATTACCGATGGAAATTACCGAACGGATATAAAATATTTGTGAAATTTGATGTTACCGACGGATATATCCGTCGGTAAAATAATAATTAGTTACCGACGGATATATCCGTCGATAAATCCGTCTGTAATTTATAGATGAATTTACCGACGGATATATCCGTCGGTAAATCCGTCGATAAGTTAACAAGTAATTATCGACGGATATATCCGTCGGTAAATTCATATGTAAATTAAAAATTATTTACCGAATCGGATAAATCCGTCGGTAAAATTATATAATATAATTTAATTATTCACTAATTAAAAAATAAAATATTTTTTATTTAATAATTTAATTTAATCATAATTAGATTAATTTATAATAATTTATTAAATTAAGTAATTTTAAAAATAAATATTTAATTATATATAAATATATATAAATAAATATATAAAAATATAAAAATATAAAAATATATAATATAAAATATATAAATATATATAAATATAAAATATAAAATATAAAAATATAAAAATATAAAAATATATAAATATATAAATATATAAAAATATATATAAATATAAAAATATATATAAATATATATAAATATATATAAATATATATAAATATATATAAATATATAAAAAAATATATATATATATATAAATCTATATAAATATATATAAATGTATATAAATATATATAAATGTATATAAATCTATATAAATATATATAAATATATATAAATATATATAAATATATATAAATATATATAAATATATATAAATATATAAAAAATATATAAAAATATATAAAAATATATAAAAATATATAAAAATATATATATAAATGTATATAAATATATATAAATATATATAAATATATATAAATATATATAAATATATAAAAAAATATATATAAATATATATAAATGTATATAAATGTATATAAATATATATAAATATATATAAATGTATTTGTATATTTGTATATAAATATAATTTATTTGTAAATTGTTATCAAGAAATTCTAGTAGCTTAGTGGTTGGAGTATCAGCTCTGACTCTAAGGTACTCGGGTTCAATCCTGCCAATGACATTTCTCTTAATCGACAATAATTCAAAGTTATAAAAATATAATATGGAGAAATAATTGAAATAATTAATAATAAATAATAAGAATATAAGGGGGAGGGGTTCTATAAAAAAAATAATGTTATAAATAAGTAAAATATTTAATAATTAATAAAATTATTACCGACGGATTTTTGGCGGTCGAATTCCGTCGGTAATATTCATTTACCGACGGATTTTTGTTATTACCGACGGATTTTGACCGTCGGTAATTTTAATATTTCTTGTAGTGCACCTAACACTTTAAAATTTTTTAAGAACCAAGTTAAGATAGTTAAGCTGCTGTATAATTTCAATAAGTTATAATAATAAGAAATATGTATATATGTTTTTGTTGATTTTTGTCTACTATGAATTGTCGTATTTTTTGCCATGGAATACGGAAAAGTTTCATAAAGTGAAGAGATTTTGCCGATCGAATTGTTTGGACCTTTTATCCTTAATTCATACAAACGTTTAAAAAAAATGGCCAAATAAATATTGTGGTGCAATTTTGTTCGTTACATGTAATTGTTAATTGAAAGTTATAATATAGAAGTATGGTTTAACTAGGAAGTAATTAGATTTTATTTTTATCCAAAATATTATATATAAATTATCAATCACTTTTAGTGTTACGAAGGTGTGTAATATTTTAGTTGAATTTATCCTAAGTATTTAAATATTCATTTAATGTATTACGATAGCTTTTCATTATCTTAATAATTAATTTAATTAACTTTGATATACTAGTGTAATAAGTATATAAAAGTTCTGAGATATATATATATATATATATATATATATATATATATATATATATATATATATATATATATATGAATCCATTTGGTTTGTATGGAAATTTAAAAGTCATTTAGTTCAAATGAAATTATATGAAATATATTTGTGGTTTGGTTTCTAAAAAATAATGTTTCTAAGAGAAATATTTAAAATAGAAGTTTTTTTATAGAAAAACACTACGTTCATTATATTATATTTACTTTAGATCCACGGACTCTATGTTAAGTACTTCTCCGTACAATAAAAAATAATTCTTAGTATTATATAATTGAGACTGCAATAAGATAATTTGAATAAACTACTATAATTATAATTTTTAACTTAAGGGTATGTTTGTCTTATATTACGTGGTCTTTAATTGGTTTTGTGTTGACACTAACATGTATCATACTTAAAACCTAAACTTTTAGTTATTATTTTGAGTCAAGCATTATTCTTTTTATGAATTAAATGTATTCTGATTGGACAAGACTTTATTGTCTTTGATCAAGAATTATCTTTTTATTATTATAGATAAAAATACTGGTTTAAATTTATATATTATGAATTCATTTTATATTAAAACATTTACATGGTAGCTTGAATTTAATTTAGAGAAAAAAAATCTTATATAAATTTCAATTTATCCCAACCATCCAAATATAATTGATATAATCAATTTTTGGCTTCTCTACTTTTTTGTAATTAATTTGAAGACAGTTACAAGTTAATATTAAAGTGAGGATTGAGAGATCTATACCAGTAATATCATGATTTATTTATACACGACACACATAACAGGTTTTTATATCAGAAAAAACACCAATTAACCAAATACACACTAAAAATGCATACCAATTTTCCTTTTTAGCGATTGAATTATATAAACACAATCATTCTCCTCTAACACTAACCTTTTTGTGAACAAAAAGAACGAAAAATATCACCAACATAGAACTATTAATCAAAGACTTTATAACTAAAATCATACCTACCTAAATAACAGAACACTACCTGAACTGTCATGAGCACAATCTCACCAAGATCACGCATACTAAATATTTCATTTTTTAATTATTTTTCTATTTCAAAACTGAACAATGACGAACATTAAAATCACCAAAAGCTACCCCAACAAATTTAGTTCCAGTTCAAAACAAAAAAACACAGGTCAAGCATTTATCATCAAATTTATCAAAATATCACTTCTCATATTAAGGTAGCATAGAATAAAGTAAGACCTCAACAGCCACCAGCAAACACACATACAGAAACTACATAGCACTGAGCTTTGTTAAAGTAAATAGAACTGCCACAACTTGGGGTGGTGTTGTTGAAACTAAGCTTTAGGCTTGCGAAGAAGAACAACCGAGTTGATGACATCATTTGTGGGGTGAAAGATGGTAAGAACATCAAAATTCACCATGTCACGGTCCTCAAGAATAGGGTACAGGAAAGCTCTTGCCCCTTTTGCACTTCTTACTAGCAAAGTCCCTCCCTCCTTCATATACTTCCTTATGTGTCCCAAAATCTTCACTTTTGCTTCCCTATTCAGGCCCACAAGTGCTGCCAAAAAGATGCAATCATATTGCCCCAACCTCTCTCCCACTTCCATGATGTCTTGTGTTTCAAACTTCATCCTCTTCTCAAGTGCAGCATCAGAAGCTACAATCTTGCGAGCCACCTCGTTGGCCTTCTCATCAATGTCAAAGTTGTCAAAGTGTGTGGACTCCATGTGGTGAGTGGCCATTATGATGGAAGTGAGAGGCATTGGACCTGACCCTACAAAGGCCACTTTCTTTGCATTCACCACCCCATTTTCTTTCAAGATTTTGTTTTCCATGTGAGCTAGTTTCACATAGTTCCCATAGTAAGGGAAAAGGGTCACATTCTTGAAGGGCTCGGGTGTGAGGCTTATGAAGATTGAGAATTCAAGCTCTAAGAGCCCTTCAGCATGGCCACAAAGGTTAATGAGGCTCTGACGCATGTCTTTCACCTCTTGGGGCAAGGCCTCAATGTCAATGGATGAAGGGAGGGTGCAAAGTTTCACAAGGTGAGTGAAGAGGCTATTCACTTGCTTGCAAGGCCTAAGGGATTCAAGCTTGGAGATGCTTGCATGAAGTTGCATGATCTGAGCTATGAGAACCTCTTCTGAAAGTTGAGCTTCAATGCTGATGCTTTGGAAAGAAGCCATTGGGTTGAAATGGTTTGACAGGTAACCTGAGCTAAATTAACCACAACACTAAGGATTTCTATTTGCCTTGTTGAAAAAGTGAGAAACCTTAACCTATTTATAGTTGCATAAAGGTGCTAGAATTTATTATGCATTCTTAAATCCATTCTGGTCAACTACAACAGGGTGTTTCATGCCTTCACAATTATCAATGTATAAAATAAATGATGGTGAAAGATAGGTGTTATCTAGTAATAATCTGAATATTGGAATGAAATATAAAATTTTCTACGTCACAAATAACAGTGGAAGACTAAAGTTATATCTAAGTTGACTTACTATGCCTAAGCTAGTAACGTAGTTTTAAAAAAATTATTTTATTTGAAATATCAGGTTAACTTTGTATTTTCTTTTTTAATTTAGCATGTCCGTTAATTTGAATATTATTATTAACGGTAATGGATTCATTAAGTACACTTTTATGGTTAATATCGTAACGTAAAAGTTAACAGTTTTCACCAGAGTTTATGTTACCAATACATTGGGAATTGTGAAACATTGGAAATTGTGGTGAGAATTGTCATTCTATTTTATTTTACTAATTTATTTGCTTTGTAACCGTTATAAAAGTATTAATTAGTCTGTCTTATAATTTATCTATTTTATTTCATTAATTCGCGTCTTTATTTTTATCTCTATAATTTTAGGTATTTATAATTGTTCTATCTTGTACAAAATTTATATCACTAATCATATAAAAATTAATTATTATATATATTATATAATTGATAGTATTAATTAAATTTAAATTTTAAAAAATAAAATTTAGTTGATTTTTTCTATATATTTTAATATTAATATAAAATATCATAAAATATTAAAATAACTAACTAATTTATAATAAATAAAATGTTTTTATATTAATGTTTCATATTTTATATTATATTATATATGTTAATTATTCTAATAAAAAAAATTATTTTTTATTTTAAAAAATTATTTTAAGGTATCTCTTTTATATATTTTTTATATTGTTATCTTATATTTTCTTGAATATAATAAAAAATTAAAGAATAAAATAAATATAATTTTTATGTTATAGAGATGAAATTATAAAAAGAATTAAAAATTAAAGATAAAAATTTACAATTTTTATGCTGTATAGAATGGAGAAAAAAGAAGATAAAAATGAATGAATGATAAAAATAAAAGATAGAAATGTAAAAATATAAAATGAGTATATGATAGAAAAAGTTGTAGTGAGAAAATGAAGATGTGAAAGAAGAAAGATAAAGATTTCAGAATGGAAGGAAGAAAAAGAAAAATATAAGTAAAAATTTGTGTAAAAATAATAAATATGATATTTATTATAAATAAAAAATAATAAAAAGAAAAGATAAAATTTTTATTTTAATTATATTTATAAAATAATTTTTATTTAATTTTAAAAAAATAATTATTATATATAATGATTGTAAGACATCGTCTTTTGTAGTTCTACCATTGCATCAAATTAAGTATTGTATGTTGAATTATAATATATTCTTTAAAATATGTATTAGTGGATCGGAAAAGTATGGTATATAAATTATCTTTAATCTTGACGTGAAACTCATAAAAATATTGAAATAATAATTATAAATATTTTAAAATAAAAATTAAAAATATATAAATAATATAATAATAACAACAAAATTTAAATAAAATATCATAATAATAAATATAAAAATGTTATTCATGTAAATTATTATAAAGAAAACAAAAATAAAAAGAATCATTACAACTTTTTAATGAATAAAGAAAAGGAAAAATAAAATAAAATTTAAAATTATATTAAATTAACATATATCAAAATCATTCTATTATTAATGTTTGTTAAAAAAAGAATTTTATTTTATTTTACATAACATAACATATAAAAAAACAGTAAATATAAATAATAATAAATACAAGATAAAAAATAAATAAATTATATTCCTTATTGTTTTCTGACTTTATATTTGTTATGTGTAATCCTCTTTATTTATTAGTTTTTTTATTAAATTTATTTCTCTTAATTATTTATTATTTTACATTTTTTATATATAAATGAAAAAAGGTTTAGTTAATATATACTATTTACATGTATATATAAACCGTTTTTTTAATAAAGAATTTTATACTTCTTTATTAAGAATAGGAGAGAAGTTAGATGGATAAATAATATAATAAAGAAAAGTGTAACTACTTCTCTTACATTAAGTACATAACTAAACCGTTTTTAACATATTAATAAATAATATTGTACATACATAGGAAAGGTCTTTGTTTACCCTCTTATTCAACTACCAACCAACCGTTATAATAATTTTGTCTACTCTAATAATAATAATAATTTTTTTCAAAAAATCCCGCCATAGGTTTTTCTCTTTTAATCAAAGTGTACATAAATTATATGGATTACATTTATTATTATTTTTTTACTAATATATTTTTATATTGTATAATTATTTGTCTTTTAAAGGCTGCTAACCTAATATAAGCTTATATCTATTAATATTGTCCAAATAATTTTTGGTTTCTAATAATAGTTTTTGTTTCATTAATACCCAGAATTTATATGTATTACTTGTCACAATTTACTGATATATTTTTAAAAAATAAAATTATAATGAATTAAAATTTTAAAACATTATATCGAACGTTAGATTCTAAAGATATTTTCATAATAAATATAAAGTCATTTTCATTGATAAATAGAACCATTTTGATTTAAATCTTATATTGTTTTAATAAGAGACAATTAAGTTCGATTATATAATACCCTTATAACAGAAAAAAAATTATTTTCCTACAGTAAACACAATTTCAGGGCATAATTTAATTTAATTCAACCTATTAAAACTCTAATCAATCATAAATACAAATATTAGAAAAATAGATTGGGACAAAATATTGAATAAAATTTTGTGTATTTAGGATAATCTACCTTCAAGCTATCCAAACAAGCGGTATACGTAGTCTTGTCTAATTTTATGGATTAAATAAAAAAAATATTATTCAATTTGACCTAATTAAATTTTAAAAAAAAATAACATATATTTATACCAAGATCAATTAAATGAAAAATATTTAGATAAAAAATTAAAAAAATATTTTTAAAATTTAAGTTTTATTAGTGAAATTAGTTTTTATATAAAACATAATAATTTAATATATAAATTATAAAAAAATGCATCCATTTAATCTTAAAATAAGATTAAAAACTTATTCCTCTTTATTATTATTTATTTTTTAGTAATTTAATAATTTAAAATAATAATTAATCTTAATTATTACATCTTATAATAAATTATTGTTAGAAATTTATTTTGATATTTGCTCTCCTAATAAGTGAATTTGTTGTCAAGTTAATTATATATATATATATATATATATATATATATATATATATATATATATATATATATATAAGAAAATTATGTGAGAGATGGCATCCGAAGTTATTTTTGTTCTTTTCACACTTGTAGAATAAGAATGTTGAAGCATATTTTAAGCATGCAACGTGTTCACACTAAGTTACTACTTACTAACACAGGAAGATGAATATTATAGTCTAGAAAATCCTCTGCGCCATGTACCACGCAGGTCAACAACTCAAAATCTTTGTAAGATTTTTTAATAATATAAAAAATAGGAATATAGAACATAATTAGTCACATTTGTTTTTTAAAGTTTTTCTTTTATTGAAATAGAATATTTAACAAAATTGTAATTAAGTACACAGCCTCCAAATTATAAAGTAACTTAACTCCATGCCCTTGATGGATTATGGTGCATTTGTGCACCGTTGTAAAACGAATGATAAACATAATTGATGAACTAGGATTCATCATTACGCATTAATAATCACAACTAAAATTAATAAACATATAATCCAGAATTTAGAGTTTTCTAGAAAAAAAAAATTATTAACAAGAAATTTACATACCATATACAACGACAAACAATTTGCTGTTGCAATGATATAATTTTGTCACTTTAGTATTATAATATTAATTGGAAAAAAAAATTAAGACCAGTCAATATTTTGTTTAGATACTAAAAGTAAATTTAAAAATGGAAAAAAGGTTAAGAAACTAGAAGTATATATACTAAATGTTAAAATGTTTGATTATTATTTTGTTGTTGTTATAGGAATATATTGAATTCTCTAATATATGCATTTAAAAGAAAAATATGTTTTAAAATAAAAAATAATACATTTATCAGAAGGTATATATTTATATCTTCTAATTTTGATTTTATATTAGTAAAAATATTATATATATATATATATATATATATATATATATATATATATATATATATATATATTATTCAATGTACATAAAGTATATTTAATGAAAATTAAATAAAAAAATTTATGACGATGATTTTGATGTTATCACTTAAAATTAGATTACTTAATGATATATTTTAAATTGTCATTGTACGTTAAAAATTCACAACGGTTGCTCAAGTAAAATTCATTGTATCTGTTATATATATATATATATATATATATATATATATATATATATATATATATATAATATGGTATGAATTTCATGGCAAGTATATTTTCTATATATGCTTTAAAGGTTTATTCTTAACTAATAAATGTCCTTTAATTTATCAAGTATAATAATTATTTATTTTATTTTTTAAAACTTTTTTTAATATAATTTTCTTAGTTTTGTATATAATTTTTATAATTATAGATAAAAGAAGATTAATTTGACCTTTTAATTGATATATCTAATATTAATTTTTTTTGGTGGGGTTTAGGGTTTTAAAATTGAAAGAACATATAATTAAAAGAGAAAAAGTAGTCATAAACCTTCAACCTTAAACCCTAAAAGGATAAATTGAAAAAAACATATAATTTTTTTTGTGGGGTTTAGAGTTTTAAAATTGAAAGAATATATAATTAAAAGAGAAAAATTAGTCATAAACCTTAAACCCTAAAAGGATAAATTGAAAAAACATATAATTAAAAG